TTTTAAGTTTACATTGCTGCTCTAAATTTTGAGTGGTTCCTCCAATTTTGTTCATATATCCAATTTCATTGTGTTGACAAAAATAAATTCTATTAAAATGAAATAAATTTCATATTCTTATATATTTATCAGATGACTTTACCAAGTGTTCCGGTATTTTTAAGCGTTTCTGGTTTATATGATGTTGAATTCCGCATTGTTGTGTCTGGCAGAAATGGTCATATTTACACATTGAAAAGGTAATTGATAACACATAATACCGGTACATCATTGTTGTTTTTCTATGCATGTTTTGTTCAATTAAGGTGGAATTCCAGTGGTACTGTAAAAGGGTTAACTATTCACATGATTTTAATTTTGCTGGAAAATTTGCTAAATTAAAACCCAGTGAATATGTAAAATTTAGCATAGAACACATTATCTAAATGATAAAACCGTGTCCCACTGAATATGCCTGAAATGGTAAATCAGCAAAATTTAAACCCAGTGAAAAATAGTCGGTAACTTACAGACGCTAATTTTAGTGCCATAGGTCAGAGACTGAAATCGTTTAAGGTAGTACCGGTAGTTGAAAATGAAGGGAACTTAGAAATTGACATGTGAAATGTCATTCAAGTATCAGCAAATGTGAATGTTAGAGAAACGTAGGCTCTTGTAACACAAATTAACGTGTGACATTTGTAGGGGTTCCAAAACAGCCAAGTCATGTGTGGAGCTTGGTTCCCAGCCTGTCGGTTTGCAGAGAGTTGGTAAAAATATCGTTGTAGGATGCATGGATCAGACGCTTCAATGTTTTACAACAAAGGTATGTGATAAAAACATTTATTATTATGTATCTGCCTCTGGATTAGAATTCATTAACACTCACAGTGCTGTATGCAGACAAGTAGGTGTGGCCACCATCTAATGTTGCAATGAACCAGCAAACATCCTCCATATTTAATGTAATTTATATTTTATGGTTTATGTGATGTGACCATTATTTAACCACTGCATGCATATTCACCACTGTTTGTAATAACTAAATACTGTTGGGCAACAAATTATGGCTGGTGTGTTTATATTACTCTGTTGATACAGGGAAAGAGGTTGTGGACGGTGTATTTACCAAGTGGTATAACATCAATGGGATTGATGGATCACAAACAACGTGGATTTAAAGCAGTGCTGGTTGGTTTAAATAGTTGTGAAGTCCATGTATACAGAGACAAATATTTAGTGAATGTTATCAAGTCACAGGTAATGTAATGGTAAAGATGTGAGTGAGATGGTACATTAATAATCTAACAAATCACCTACACCTACATCTAACCAAGTCCGACATCTAATCTATTACTTATGCAAATCATGTTTAGGGATGTCTAACAGGATTTGGCAACCAATCAGAAAGCACCTTGTCACAGATCAATCTAAAACAAGTTGTGTTTGATTTCTCATCCCACAAGATTTGAACATAATTTGCATTCAGTTTGGCTTCAGATGACACTAATTTTGTCAATGCTTATTTCACAGGATGCTGTAACAGGAATGCAGTTTGGACGATTTGGTAGGGAAGATGGTGCCTTGGTGATGACCACAAAAGGAGGGGGTCTGATTGTTAAAATTTTACGCCGTAATGCTGTGTTTGAAGAAAGAGATTCATCGGGGGGCCCACCAGTCGCACAAAACCAGAAGCTAAATGTACCCAAGAAAACCAAACTATTTGTGGATCAAACAATGAGAGAACGAGAAAATGGAACAAGTAAGTAGCGAGTAACAATCTGTTCATCTTGCTTAAAATGACAAAAACTAAATCATATATTTTGCATATATTCACATTAGTGACATGTTTGTGAAATATGACTAAATGTGACGGTATGCATGATAATTTGCATCGTTCTATGTTCTCAAACAGTATGTGGTAAAAATCACATGGTACAATGACAGTAACTCATAATATCGTATCGTATCGTATTATAGGGCAATATTTCTGTCGATTTTGAAAACCAATGGTGGTTGTATCTGTAAAAGCGTGCAATTGATGTGTGTAAATGTCACACCTAATTAGCGTAGGATTCAATTTCAATGTTCAGAGTTGGTCATATCACCTGATATGATTTGTTCCTAAAGCTGGTTGATACTCATGACCTGTGAGGTGATTTTATATTGTATTGTTTATTTCTTCCAGCAATGCATCGCACGTTTCAACATGATTTATATCGAATGAGACTGAATACTGCTCGGGCATTTGTCACAGCTCTAGATAACAGTTTAAACCCCATTTCAATGAATCCAACTGAGCCGCTAAAGTTGTCTGCCCAGGTAGGTATCTTATGATTCTTTATACTTCTTAACTCCAGTTCAGGTAATCACACGAGTAAGAATGTGTTTTTGATTGTGACTACTAGTAACTTGAAAAGTCAATTTAAAAGTATGTGAGATTTGCAATAGTTGTTTACAAGTTATAAAAGATTTACAATCACTATTTACAGGTTATGTTAAATTTACAATTTTGGCTACAAGTT